TGGCAATATTTTGAAGACCTAAATAAATTTCAGATCTAAATGATTTTTGATTTTTCCTTCGCCACCTTAAATTATTTGATTCCCATTTAGCATATTGATCTACTAAATATTGTTGAAATAATCTGCCAGCAAGATGTAAAGTACTTCTTTCTTTGTTGGTATCCCTAAACTGTATTCTATAAGCAGCAAATTTTCTAATTGTAATCTGTCTTGGTTTTTTCTTTTTTTTGAAGTTTGAGCTTGTGATAATTCTAAGTCATCATTATCATCATCATCATTTGATTTAGACTTATCTTTATTATTACTTTTAACTTCAATTTCTTCAGTTGCTTTGCTTTTTTCTTTTGGATCTATTTTTCTTTTTTTACTTTTTTCTTTTCTTTTTTCTTTTTCTTTTTTTTTTCCTTTTGTTTTTTCAATTCTTCTTTTATTTGGTCTACTTACTGTGCTAATTATACTCATATCTGAATTTGATCTTAAAAGTAAATTTTCAATTTCCATAGCCATTCTTTCAGTACTTGAAGCAAAACTTTCACTTCTTTCAAGTTCTTTAAATGATGATTCAAACATTATATTATCATTATCATTATTATCAGAATTATCAGAATCAGTATCAGGTAATAGTTCTTCACCTTTTCTTACAATTTTATCATTCCAACCATGTTCACTATAAGGAAATAATAAAGGATATTGTAATGGATCATATGCACTATGTATTTCAGAGATATTCCATATTTCACCTTTTTTAGATTTAAGAAGAATTTATTTTTTTTTTGTATATAATTTTTATCTAAAATTATTGTAGCAACTTCTTCTACTGTATGTGCATTGTATTGTCTCATATTCTTTCTATATGTATTATAAAACACTATTGATAAATTTTGTAAATTATTTTCATATTGTTTTTTGGCTTGCTTTAATATTTTCACAAATAGATTAATTTCATAAAGTTTATTTTGAATAGTATTAAGCATTGTAGGATCTAACTTTTCAAAATATTTTAATCTAATTTTGAATTGTTTTTCCAAACTTGAATCATGAAAATATATTTGAGCAAAGCCAGGTTCCTTAGTTGTAGCTGGTAATAGATTTCCAATTGAATAGTGAAGAGCTTCATAAATTTTATTGGTATAAACTTCTTCAGTTGCATCTGCTAAATTTTCATTATAATCTGTTTTTACTAATGTAAAAGCAAATACAGAATTATATATTTTACTTTTTTCAACAAATGGTTGATTTGTTAATGGCTTATTTGTTGCAAATAGTTTATAGATTGTATTTGGAGTTGGTTTAAGTTGTGCCAATACAACTTGATCATTAATACAGCAAAATCCTTTTTCTATGTCAATACAAAGCAATGTTCACAAATTTTGCACATTGTCCCAAATCTATATCTATTCCCTTTAATGTCACCTTCTCCTTTCACCCCACTCTATTTTCCTCATAAATGTCTATATTACATTGTTCTAATTTATAAAATTGTTCAATGTTCTTTTCCTTCTTCTTCCAGTATCTTTTCTTCACTGCTTCTCTATCTTGCTTCTTCTTTTTTTTTATTTGTTCTTGAGTTCTTTTGGCTCTAAATCTTTTTTGTCTTTCTTTAGTATCTTCCTTTTTTTTAGTAGCTGCTCTTGTTCTTGTAGCAGGTTCTTCTTCTTTTTCTTTTTCTTCTTCTTCTTCTTTTTCTTCTTCTTTTTCTTCTTCTATTATTTCTTCTTCTTCTTCTATTATTTTTTCTTTTTCTATTATTTCTTCCTTTTCTATTATTTCTTCTTCTTCTATTACTTCTTCGTTAATTATTTTTTGTATTTAGATCTTGTTCTAGAAGATATAGAAGATTCTCTAATTTCTTCTTTAATAATTTCAATAGATTCTGTAACAGATTTTGTAACAGATTCTATTACAGATTGTTTTTTTTCAGATTGTTCTTTTTCATATTTATCAAGAAGTCTTTTTGTTGTTTTTTTCTATTTTGTAGTCTTTTCTTTTATCTTTATCACTTTTTTTATTAGAAGGAGCAGGATATAATCTGTCAAGTTCATCTTCTATTTCCTTAGATACTATTTTATACACAATCAGAAATTAGAACATGATAGTGAAAATAAACAAGTTGATCATGTTTTAGAATATTTTCTTGATTAGAAAGCAAAATATTCACAAAGGTTAAAGAGAATAAGGATGTTGCATTGAGTAGAAAGTTTTGGTGAAATTGTTAGTAGTGGAGATATTGTAGGAGGTAGTTAGAATACAGAGTTGTAGATAATAAAAGAGGAGTAATATTAAGTAAAAGTATAAAAAGAAGAAATTATTTGTTTGTTTGTTTTGTAGTAGGTTGATTTGATTATTATATGTATGAAGATTTTAACAAAGTTTAAAATAAAATAAAGTTGTAAACCAAAGTAGAAAAATATATTATAATTTGATAAACTACTTGAATAAATAAATTAATAATCTATTATAGATAACAAAATAGAAGAAAAGGAATAGATTAAATATTGGTTTGGAAAGAGAATTAAGTAACCAGGAAGAGTATGTTCGTTAATATCATGATATATATATATTTCAAGTGTAATAATTTTAACTGGTATTTTGTAGCGTTGAAAGAAAGAATATTTAAGCAAGTGATAAAGAAATAATTTGAGAGTTTATAGAAGTGAAAGAAGTGGTAAATTGTATTTGTAAAAAAATTTGTTAAAGCATGTCTCCTCAGAAGGGTGAGATGACTTGGTATCTGAGAAGAGAGTAAGATCTTTTGCAAAATCACTCACCATATACCCAGCTCTTATGGCTGTGCAAGAATCTAGAGTCTGCTCTGTGCATTAAGTTTGACTAACATTACTTGATTCTTCTACGTAAATAGGCTTGACTACCTGCCTACCTATATCATTCTCTTCTCTAACTACTAAGGATGTATCTTTTAAAGAAGCGGTAGCTGCATTTATGTTGTTTATAAAAGATTGAGTTAGAGAAAAAAAGAATCTTCTTTGATAAACAAAGAATCTTCAATTACAGAAACTTCAAATTGGATTTTGAATGAGGAATACATTTTAGAAGATGGAATTTATGGAATTATGCCTTATATTGCACCCGAGATTTTATTAGGACAGAAATATACATCAGCAGCCGATATTAAATTTGAAAGAGAGGATTTTTTCTGCTTCAGGAAAGGCAGATAATGAGTAGTGTTTGGATATTTGTGAAAAGGTAAGTTTAGTATTGTTGTCTTAAATATAGAAGAGGTCGAAGTATGTGATTACTCGAGCTAAGTAATCAGTAGATACAATGTTTTGGGTGATAAGATCGATAGCTTGTTTTTTGGAAAGATGAGAGATATTATGATTATCAGCTGCAATATTTTGGTAGATTTGCAAGTATTAATAAAAGTAAAAATTACGGTAGCCTTTGCTAAAAAAAGTGAAATATTTTTTGCAGATTTGTTGCTCTGCTTCATCTGCAAGTTTGTCAAGAGTTTTTGTTGGAATAGGTTTTTGGAAGGTGGCTAGATATTTGTTGTCAATGTGGAAGATTGAGGAGTCGATTGAAATGATAGGTGAATTTTCATTTGCTTGAACAGGATAATGTTTGTCAAATTCTTGTTGGATAGCTTGGCGAAGATCAGGTATGTTATATTTGCTATTTTGGACATAGAAGCAGTCTTTGTGTATAAATGTGAGTATGTGGTAGTTGAGAAATTGAGTATATTCTAGTAGGCGTTCAAAAGAGTTTGAAGATTTGTTAGACATATTCAGAAGAGAGAAACTTTATAAGTTAGAAGGTAAATACTCTTTTAATAAGATAACATAGTTTGTCATATGTTTCTTGTTTATCGATTGAGATGAATTGGCATTGATAAAGTGGAAAGAAGTTTTTGAACTATTCGTCAAAGTTTTTTCAGAAGTTTTTAAGAGAGGGAATGCTAAATTTGTGGAGAAAAAGTGATTGAGATAAATTGAATAAGAGATTAATATTAAATTTGTTATCTGAGTTGATAGTAAAGTATTCTTTGTTTTGGTCAATAGAAATGATATAGAATGTGATTTGAAAGGTTTTTGGACAGAGATTGAAGTCTTCTGCAAACTTAGTGTAGTTAATACATTAGTAGTTCTCAGAGAGGTATAGGTGTATACAAGCAAGGTTAAGGCAGAATTAGATTCTGTTTTCAGGTTTGTAAAGAGGTATGGTAAGTGCTAAAGCAAAGATTTCTTTATAGTTGAATTGGGTAAAGAGAATAGATGTGAATTTATGAATTAAATTTCTAAAAGTAGTTTCAAGGATAGTAAAATTAATTGAGGCTTTGGGGTTAGTATCAGGGTTATTGAAGTAGATAAAGTTTAAAAGAAATTGGGATTGGCAAGCGGCCATGGTACAGATAAGGTATCTGAAGTTGGCTCAAAGTGGGTATAGGTTTTTATCATTGGCTTCCTTAAGGATTTTGCCAGGATAAAAGTTGTGAAGGTGGGTTTTAAGAAAGTCGAAGAGTTGGAGAGCCATAGGTGTTTTAAGTTTGGTTTTATCTTTCATTTCATCAGTGATAGGGAAGTAAAAAAGCCAATCAAAAGACGGGTTGGCTTTGACTTTAGGTTTGTCTAGTAAAGTAGCTGTAGTAATCTCACTGTTGTTGTTATTGCTATTAGTATTATTGGTATTGTTAGTGGTTTTTTGAGTAATATTGTTAGTGTGAGTGTTAGTATTATTAGTAGTAGAGCTTATTTGGTGGGAGGATGAGGTGTGAGTTAATTTGATAGCAGTAGTAGGTTGAGTTGTAGTAGGTGTTGGTTTATTGGAAGTAGAGGATTGGATTTGAGATTGATTAGTTGTGAAGGTTTGAGGTTGTTTAAGTTTGAGAGAGTTGGAGATAGTGGGCTTTTGGTTTGTGTTAGTAGCAGTTGCCTAAGTGAATAGGTTGGTTATAGAGTTATCTACAGAAGAGGTTAGATCAAATTCAGAGAATTAATTTCTATTGAACTAGAAACCTGAGATTGAGGTAATGGTAATAAGGGTTAGATAGTTTGGGATAAGAGGTTTTGTTTAAGTTGTGGGTTGGGTTGGGTTTTGACAGAGTATGTATATTTAGGAAGAGGTGAGTTACTAGTCAAGGTAGATAGAGGTTGAGAAATTTTTGGGTCAGTTTGTAAAGTAGATATTTTTTCTGTAGGTTTAGTGTTAGAGGTATTTGTTTTAAAAATATTTGTTTTGCTAATATTAATAGAAGTAAAAGGTTGAGTTGTAGTAGAGGTATTAGGTTTAGATGGTAGTATAGCTTGAAAGATTGAAGTTAAATCTTTTCTGGCTTGCTTGAGGGGTAAGGGAGTTGAAGTTGAGAATGTGTTAGAAGTAGAAGATGAGGATTTAGCTATGCAACTAGAGTGGTATACTTTTTTATTGACAACAGTATAGATTGCATTGGGATAGTGTATACTGTTAATAATCTTGCAAGTAATAACTTGAGTACACTTGGGGCAAGTATGTTGGCATACTTTGGGTGTAGGAGATAGTGGGATGTTGTTGGTAGATTTAGAAATAGTATTGATAAGTTCAACTGATTTTTGGTTTTGTTTTTTCCTTATAGCAATTGTAGTAAAATCGGTAGTATGTTGATAGGTAGTTTTAGTTTGTGATATAAATTGTGTATGGTATTTACCATATAAGCAAGTAGCTAGAGCAGTGGAGGATGGAGCAGAGAAGAAGTGTGTTGCTTTGTGAGATCTAGAGATTTAATAAAACAAGTAGTAGGAACCTGCTTGGGTGAGATTGGTTTGATATTGTTGTCTGTTTTATCCTTGGAAAATGCAAGACCAAAGCTGTCTTTGAAGTAAGCATAGAAGTAGTCAAGATCTGCAGTGTCAGGGTCTTTGCTAACTAATGTAGGCATAGTAAAGTTAGGAGAGTATTAAGTTTCGCTTAAGGTATAGTAAAGTTGACTTTTGTAAAATTATTTTATTTTTTTTTTTTTTTTAAGAGAGGTCTTTCCTCTATTCCTTTATTTCAAAATATATAATTGGATACAACTTGTACAA